TCTCACTTTAAGGCAAACTCCTGCACAAGAGCAAGGCTGAGCTCTACCTCTGTGCATCAGAGTGCCTTTCCCAGTGTGCAGAGAGCTACATCATGAGGCCAGCAGAGCCTGGCACAGGCCTCCTCTGTCAGTATGCAAGGCCAAAAACATCCACCTTCTCCAAATTGACACAGGAATTACTCTGAGTTTAAGCCCATGCTGCTGGTGAAACTATCCTGCTTTGTGTGAGCAGCAAAGCAGCTCTGGTTAAGAGTCAAAGACCTCCTTATGAACCCGCTTGTCTTGTGCTGGACACACTGGAGGTGGTTTGCAACCTCAAGCACTGATATTATTATAACCTCCTGCCATGAAGTGCCTTTCCTCCTTCAAATCCACACTGCTCAACAACGTATGGTTCACCTCCAAACCTAGCTAGTGTCACACATCTGGCACACACGTGTTGAATCATTGTGGTAAATCAGTGCTTTAGCTCAGATTGTCCAACAAGGTTGGGAGACTCATGCCTGTCTCTGGCTGAAAATCATAAACCGACACAGCACTCCTTACCATTTTGTATTTAAAGGCTCCTTCAAACTTAAGTCCTCGGTGGCAGGACCCCCGGTTGTCAATGACAACAACAACGTAGCCCAAAGAGGCCAGGGTGTTCAGACGGAAATATTTGATTCCTTTGAACCGATTGTTCACCAGCTGTACCTGGAATAGAAGACGAGCAATGACACAATCATGTATGTAAATGGCATCCAGAGGTCACTTGTCAACCCAATTTATGTATATTTACTTTCCTTTAAATGTTTTACACATGTTTTAACAAAGTTTTCACGTCACTCTTCTCTGCTATGTGATTCCCTCCCTCTACTTGTGGTTTGCTAAGAAACCAGCTGCATTAACAGGTCATTTTGTGTCATGGCTATGAAGGGCTGAACCAGACTCTCCTCTGCAGATGTCCTGAGGCACCAAGCAAGAGGGGAAGCTGACTGCCCACCCCAAGCCCGAGCTGTGGGTCCGCTGTCCTCTGCCTGATCTTTCCAAGGAGAAAACCTGGCTCTGCTCTGAGTCCCTGGGACCAGAGCAGAGTGCAGCAGATTTGGGGAACCAAAACAGGGCTCAGGAGCTTGCCCTCTCCTATGCACCAGCAGGAGAACAACTGGGCAAGCTCTCCTAAATACCAAGGGGTGATGGCATAGGCTAACACAGAGCTCCCCTCATGTACACAGGGAGGGTGGAAAGAAGGAGCAGGAGCCGCTACGGATGAAGGGGAGACAGAACAGGGCACTGAGACTATTCCCACTGCCCTTCCTCCATGTTCCAACTCCTGCTTCCAAACCTGTTCTCCAAACTCCGAATCAGTTCTCTCTCTCTTTCTGTCATGACTGGCAGTGCCTTCGTCTATGTCCTGAGAACCCCGTTGCCTACAACACCTTCAGCCAAGCAGGTAATCATGGAACAAGTAAAATGCCTCACACCTTCCCTGGTGTAGACCAGCAGCTGCAGACAAAGGAGAGGTGAGAGCGACGCGACGGAGACCAACCTCTGCTGCCGCTCACAGATGTGGGCACTCACCTGGGGCCCTCCGTAGATGAAGAGCACAGTGGGGTACTTCTTTCTGGGCTGCAGATTGTGAGGCTTGTACATCATCCCATAGAGCGTGAACCCCGAGGAGCTCTTGAAGGAGAACACCTCTGGGGGGATGTAATCAGGAAGGGGCCCTGCCGCAGGAGGAAGCAAAGAGCCCAGTTTAACAGGGAACAGGAGGCTTAAGGCAACTCTGCTCGTTCATGCCCTCCACGCATCCCCAGGAATGCTTCATGCTTCCCAAGGGATGTGGCCAGGACCAGGCTGAGACTGGGAATGCCTTGGTCCCAGGGGAAGTCTCCCAGCCCCATCCTCTCCTGTCCTCAACCCCAGTCTACTCCTCACAGCAGTGACAGCTCCTTCACTGAGAGCCTGCACAGGGGCCCCATCCTTCTGCAGCTGCATAAATACAAGGAAAGACTAGGAGATGAAAGATGATGGAAAAATAAAAGTCCAAGAGGTGCCTGGCAAAGGCAGGGGCGAGCAGAGCTCTTTAACTGTATGCTCCTTCCTGCAGACTGGGAAGAGCTCAGGGACAGGCAACCAGGACAGAGCAAGGGAGCTCACTTACCCCCTGCGACTGATGCTAAAACTGCATCTCTGCAGGTCCAGCAAAGGACACTCAGGCATCCTCCCTTGCTACTGCACTGTGATGGGCCCCACTGGCCACAGCCCTGGAAGATCATTCTGGCCCCCACAGTCCCCTGAGGCTGGGGCAGCCACGTCACAGCTTGTGGAAGGGGGCATCTTGCAAGCACTGGCATTGCTTCCCCTGCCACTTCGACAGAGAGAGGCTTTCCAAGCACATCACGGCTCTGGCAGTGGAAATTTAATAATTTCTAAATTATATTGCTCTTTTTCTTTTTCTCATGAGAGATAACACATATTTGTAGCTGAGCCAAAAATATAATTAAATGGTTCTCTTCCCTGGGCTTTTACTCCCTTGTCCTTACACAGAACAGGCACATTCCCTTCTCAGCCTTTACTGGACTACATCAAACAAGCCACACTGTTCATCTCCTCACTACCACAAACTGTTTATTTACCTCAACCTCTGTCACAATTTACATGGTCTTCTCATGCAACCTCCTAGCAAAACCTCTGGGATAAACTCTCAGTCGAACTGAAGAGGCAGCTGAGCTGCCACCAAGACACATATCTTCTGCAAGCCCAGAAGACACGGCCAGTCATCAACCCAAAAAGAATAAATCAGACCCAGTTCTGTCTTCTGTTAGACAGAACCTGTTATACAGGTCTGTATAACTTATTTATGTCTCAGCAGAGCATTTCTGGGGAAAGAGCCATGGAGGAGGACAGTGTATACACCACAGCCAGGCAGCCCAAAAGCTAAGTGTGCACTCTAGCTTAAGAAGTTAGAAGCTTAACTGTGAAACTAGCAGGCAATCCTTCCTCAAGCACGAAATTCCCCTGCTTTAAAGACGTATTTATTTTTGCAGCAATGCTTACATAGGATGGATGTGTTGTTGCTCATTCAGTACTGATACATTTGACCAGACCCATAAAAGTTACGACCACCTGCAGCCTCCTGCCACCTACCAGCATAAACATTAATGCAAATCCAGCAGCTCCTTCTCATTCCTGCACTTCCCAGTACTCCTCACGCAAACGTGAGCTTCCAGACAAGCCAAGTCATCCAGAACACAAAGGCTAAAACAAGCATTTTCTGGTATTTTTTCAGCCTGTGAGCCCAGCTGCCCTTCTCCAGTTCCTCATCTGTGCTGTTACCTGCTGAATCTAAAATGGTTGCCCAAAATTCCTTTGTTCTGTGAGCTGCATCATCCTCAGGCCCTGTCAGCCGGTAGAGCGACACACAGTGCGGATTCTTCTGATTGCTGTACTTGCTGATGAACATGTCACAGTCCTGGGAAGAACAAGAATATCATCTGGAACTCTTCAGTGCAGAGACATGAGAAAAAAATAAACATTTCTCCCTGCATTTAGATCTCTCAGGAGGTGCTCATGGACTGAATTAAACCAGGAAGCCTGGGGTCTGTTGGCAACAGCTTATAGACTCCAGGGAGCTGCAGTCCTCAGCAAGAGTCAAATATTAACACTCCAAAGCTGTGTTTTCTGCTAATTCTGCAAAATACACCTGCAAAACCAGCAGTGGCATGAGGACTGTATCACACCCTGTCCTCTCCTGGGCAAGGCAGTTCCTGCAGAACAGGTTACTGTCCCTAACTCCTGGGACTGCACCCAAGGCTGTTCTTCTCACATGATCTCCCCTTAGCCCTCTTCAGGCAAAAAGAGCCAGGTTTAAACAGGCACCTCAGCCCAGCTGCTTTTCTAGGAGGTGAGCTGAGGAGCAGCTGCACTGGCAGGTCACTAGCAAAACTGGAAGGGAACCTGTGGCAAAGCCCAGAGCAATTTGCTTTGGCTTCTAGAAGGGGCTACAAATTCACCGTACAAGGCACAGGAGCACACAGCATAGTGTGAAATCCACTTTTGTTATATAAAGATGCAGCCTTATCTGCTGATTGATGAAGAACAAGCCTGTGGTCACAGGCAGACTGGGTACCTGGCTGACACAGCAGGCATGAGAGTAGCCACGTTCCGTCAGCCGCTTTGCTTCCCCGGGGTGCTCGTAGCTAACGACGTACAAGTGATGCTCTAACGGTGAGTCCTTTGTGCCTTGAAAATATACCAGTTTTTTGGCTTCATCTACATAGATCTGTCAAAACAAAGCAAACACATACCACAATGTTGAGTTAATGATAAAAAAACAGGCAAGTCTGAGAGGCAGCACTTGACACCTTCTTGCCCAGCTTTTTCACTCAGGTCCTTAACTTTCCCCAGTCTTCATTATTTGCTGTGCTCAATGATTCTTTGTCATTTCCTCATGCTTCAGACCCTTTCCCAAACCACCGAGACACACATACAATACAAACCTTTCCAGGAAGAAGTCATGGCAGCAGCTGGCTGGTAGCTGCTAAGTTAAATATTCCTTCTTTTTGAACAGTTGACAGGACAATTTTGAATATAGGAGAACTTGCACATCTCACCCCCTAAACCCTGTTCCAATATCCATTCAGGAAGGACTTTATCAAAGTCTTCTGTGAAGTCTAAATGACAGTCAAGAAGTTCTCCTTGAATTGCTGCCTCATTCCTTTCTAAGGATTCGTCGAGCTGAGCACTGGAAGGGCAGCAGTTTGGGGAACATGTCTTCTTTTGCAGAACAAACACCTTGCACAAGCTCACAAGATACAGGGAATACAAACATCGTGTATTCTGGCTACAGAGAGGCAGGGCTAATAGATTTATGCTGATCACTTTAGTGAATCACTTGGTTCAGGACAGCAGCTCTCACTATCATGACACCTTGTTGCTCAAGGAACATGTGAAATGTCCTCATTGCTGCCTCACAGTTTTTTACTTCCTTCTCTTTAAGCCTTAAATTTAGCGGGGAAAACTCTTTGCTTATCAGCAAAGAACACTCAGAAAAAGAAAGCAGCTATTGTTGCCCAAATGGCCACTGCTAAAACCACAGTCGCCAGGCCAGACCAGTAAATCAGAGTTAGAGGAGAATAAAAGCAGATTGAAGCCCAAACACACGTGATTCATGTGCTCAAAGCCAATGTAACAGAGTGGTAGGGCCCAGTCTTCTCAGGGAGCAGTGCCTTGCTAATACAACACGTACTGATTTGTGGGGCCCTAGAGACCATGTCCCTGCAGTGCTGTCCTTCAGCATGAGCGGGTGGCTTTGAGGATGTTCACGCAGCAAGAGCAGACACTTACGTTGGACCCATGTCTGCCAAGCACTTCCCATTCCCCACTGGTAAGCGCCACCTCCTCTTTGATGGGGCATTTGAAGTCACCTGGAAACAACGGACAGGCAAGCAGAGATTTTACATGTTAACCACAAGAAATGGTCACAATTATACTTCTTCTTCCTTCCAAGCTTTTTTGGCAGACTCACTCAAAGAGCAGCCTGGTTTTGTGCAAGATCCACATGTCTGCCACCGTGCCAGACAAATGCTGCTGCACAGCTGCACAGAGCATTTTAGAGTTGGTAATGTGCTGTGAAACATATGTCAAAGGATTCAGAGATGCTCTCAACCTGACACCTGGGCAGCATTTTGGGGTTTTTTGAGGCTTGTTTTTTCTTGTTATCCTTTATTTTTTTTTCACATGCACAGAAATAGAAGCTTTATACTAAAAAACATGAAAAAAGGTCTCAGGTGTCAAAATTGGAGAATTTTGATATGAAGGTAGCACACAGCTCTTTTAGGAGATGGATTCATTTCCCCCAATGTTCTCTGAGAGGTAAAGAATTTGGGTGCATTCAAGGGAACCCAATCACTTTCTATATAACATTTTCTGTGAAGAAAAAAGAAAAGTTGGATAAAACTAGGACTCCCAGTAAAATTACATGTTGTTTTTTTTTCTGTGCAAGTGCTCAGCAAGTGCCTTCCGCACACAGCAAGTAAATTAAGGATCACAGCATGAAACTATAAATGAGAGAACCCACGCTGTGCAGAACCCACTCCAGGAACTCCGCACACAGCTATACTGCAGAGCTGGGGCCAAACTTTGACCGCAGCTTGGAAGCACAAGGTCTTGAATTTTTGCTAGAATCAACTCCTCCTGCATTTCCACTTGCAACAGCTGCCAGTAATTTTCTCCTACTAACATCCCTGTCTATACAGCGATACCACGATTGTTTTTAAGAGCAGAGAGGAATTCCCTGCATAGCTGTCATATCATAGCTTCTTTCTGGCAAGCACACGTGTTCATTTTAAAGGTGAAGGCTCTTGATACACCTTTTTACAATGTGGTCAAAGTATGCTCTCTGTTAACCTCTCTTCTACAATCAGCTTGTAAAGGCTGACAGAGACTCTGCTGGCTTTGCTTGCAATGCCAAGTCTTGAATCAATGTCTGCCATTAGATACGTTTGACCCAGGACATCAGATAGTCACGTTGTTACTATAATGATTAACTCCCAGGAAAGTCAGCACACAAACAATCCCATCCTTAACAAAGAAAAAAACATCTAAGTGTGTTTCACAATTTCTCATGAGCTCATTTCTCTTTTCACCTTCTGAAACTTCTCCCTCTAGTCAATGAAGAAAAACCTGGGTTAAAGCTGCAGGATGTTGGATACAAAATCAGCCCTGTACATATCCAAAGGGAATGACTGAACAATGAAGTGCTTTCCTGCATAAGAGCAGGAGTTTCCAGTGGGACTGGTTCCTGCCACCTAGAAAGACACTTATTTCCTCACTGGTCAGCAGTTAATGCCCAATTAAAGCAAGAGAATAATTTCAGTTACTTGGAGCAGGGAGGCCTCCACATGACCGTTTATACTTGCTCTCCTTCAAAACTGAGGTGATTTTGTAGAGGTGCCGGAATCCCGTCTTGCACTCCGAGGCAAAAATGAACTCTATCTCATCTTCACGGGCTTGAGGGAAAACATGGAATATATCATGGATCTGTGGAGACAGGGCAGGGGATCATAATCAACAGCGGGGCTCTGGCACTCAAGTCATGCAAAGCAAGTTCCTCTTGCTGCTCAACACCAACAACACGGAGTCCACACTAGCAGGGCACAGGGCACTGTCCCTTCCTGGGAGAACCGATTGTCCACGTGAGCCCAGAGGTGCCTGCAAACAGCAGCCCCGCGTGCTGCACAAGCCCTGACTCGTTACTAGCCTAACTCTACAGGAACAATTCTGCCCACAGAAACTACTAAGCAAGTTTTTCTGCTCTCGCCTCCTCTGCTTTGATGTGGGCCCAGTTCGACAGTCACAGAGAGAAGCCAGGACTCAGCGCCCTCCTCTGTCCAGCGCTGTGTTAAAAGCCCGGACAGAAAAGGGTATTTAAAGAAAGGTGAACAGGTGTCATCTCCCTGCTTATGAAGATGCCAACTCCTGCTTCCAGGGACAATCCTTTGAGGGTACCCAGAACCATTCATCTGAATAGTATGAACTGCCAGGAAAAACATCAGCTCCAGGTAGTAGAGATAACGGCGAAAGGACGTCCACAGGCACTGCCCCATCCTGAAGCCATGCACTGATTCCAAGAAGAAGGCACAGTGCTGTGGAGAGCACACGTTCACTGGGAGACTTTGTGCAAACGCTCCCTGCTGAAAGCTCTGCCCCTCAAGCGGTCGATGTTCCCAAGCCTGCACCCTGGCACACCTCCCATGGGATTCCTTTCTGGAGACAGCATCTCCGCTTGCAGCACCGAACACCACCCGTTTGTATGGCATTAGCCTGGTGTTGTACTGACATCTGCTCTCACGTGGCAGAGACCCAGCCTGAACACAGCCAAGGACGCTTTCCGTGACCGTGAACGGCCTTTCAGGACTCGCTCACCCAATCACACTTAGACAGCTCTTCATCAGCTGAAGACACCTCATCTGGTGGAAATCTGTTTGGGAATGATCACACTGAGAAGGTGGATGGTGTAACACCGGGGCAAGGGGCTGTCCTGGGCACTGGAGCCCTGCCTTCTGCTCCTAACTGGCTGACCACTGGAGCCACAGTTGAGCTGCTCTGCTTCCACTTCCCACATCTGTTTGATCTATACTTACTGTGGGCTCTTTACAGTAGGGAGCATTTTATTTTAAACAGGGAATACGCACAGAACCTTGCACAATGGGATTGTTATCCTAGGCAGCACAGTAATCCTAATGTCACTCAAATGTTACAAATAGGGTCTTGAAGAACAAATTGTTAGAGAAGGTTGAAATTCAAATTCTTACATTTATCCAGATGTCTGTTGTTTCTTCATAAATAATGAAAGGTGTAACAGAATCTGGTACAGCATCGATAAGTTTCTGTCTTTCCATTGCATCATCTTCTATAGGGATGAATAATGCAGGAGGGATCAAGACTATCTGAAGTCGTGTTTGGGAGCGATCCAGTAGGATGGACCAGATGCTGTTGAGGGAGACAGATATTACAGAAAACAACATGCAGCCATGAGTATTTGATGCATGAGAAAATCTTGAGACACACACATTAGCATTCAGTTTGAAGGAGTCGAAAGGATTCAGTTTCAGATTAAGCACGAAGCCACATGTCAAATCTCACCCATGAAAATAAGTTTGTTCCATAGTGTAAGAGCCTATTTCACAATATTGTGTAAGCACTGCAGATTCAAATGCTCTATTTCCCCAGATTTCTATTGTGCTTTAGGGGAGAAAGAGAAGAAAAAATATCAGAGGCAATAATGAAGCAGAAAAAAACCTCTGAAATTTCTGAATATTTGTGAAATATTAATGTTTTAAATCTATATTTGGCACCTAAATGACCTGGCTGTAGACCTTGCCAGACTTTGGGTAACTTTACAAATAGCTCTAATAACTATCCTGCAAAAAGCAAGACAATGAAACAAATGTGTCCATTTCTTCCACATTTGGGGGGAAAAATAGTGGAAGCCAGCTTTAGCCTCAAGAACTGGAACAGCTTCTGATGAGTTAGAAACACTGTACTACATCATCTACAGGGTTAAAATGACATGCAAATGTAAGTGGCACTTACAGCAGGTTTTCTGATCAGTAAGTCTGGTCAGCAAGGATGGTCCAGTGGTTAGGGCGCTAGCCTAGGGCCTGGGGGACCTGGGCTCATTTCTCTCCTCAGTCACAGACTTCCCGTGTGACCATGGCAAGTCACTTAGCCTCTCTGGGCTGCAGTTCCCCATCTGTAAAATGGGGATAATAGCACTGCACTCTCTCTCACAGGGATGTCGAGAGGACACATACAACAAAGGCTGTGAGTGCCCCAAACCAGAGCAGCAGGGCTGGGTACCAGAGCAAGACAAGGAGGACTCTGTTTTAGGTTTGGAAAAATGGTCCCTTTGCACAAACAAGTTGGCAGCAATGAAAAAACGAAAGCAGGCTTAAGCTCAAAGAAAAGACAGAGCCACTACAATCTGGCTTCTAACTGGTTTGCCCCAAACCTCTTAGCAGAGACAGGATTAACATACGCACTATTTTCCTTCTGGCGTCCACCCAGCTCTAGCAATGTACTCTACTCCTTCAAAGAGGATCTCGAAGGGCTGAACTAGCTCTTTGTCCACAACACCTGCAATCTGTTGACAAAGCAGCAATTCAGTGACACTGAGATGAACCCCCCAATCAGTTTTCATGCACAGTGAGAATCCAGACACAGAAGACTTCTTGTGTACAGCTCAATTAATTTAGATTGTTCAGCTTTTCAGCACAGGGGATTCAACCCCATCTCTAGCCAGACATGAGAATAGCAGCAGATTGCACGTTACTAGCACAGGTAAGGAGGGACTTGACAAATCTGGAGCCTGCCCACACATCAATGACTGGCCTTGGCCAAGCCACATGAAAACTCAGTTTCCCCATGTAAAGATGTAAAGAGGAGGTGATCTGTACTGAGCTATTTAGTAAAAAAAGTTCCGCTGCTGCGGATAAAAACATCCTTATGACAGCCAGTTGCCAACAGGGTTGGTAACTTCTTATATATGCTCATATCTCATTCCTTTTGCAATGAAAATTCTTCAAGTATTTGCTGTCAACCAAGAGGTCTGCCACAGAAAAAAAGCCTAACCACCCACTCCTAAAATACTGTGCTCTGCAGCCAAGCTCATAAGCCAGTCTGGGGGAAGGAAAGGAACAGCCTCAAGCACTGCTATATGCACAGACACGAACTCTCCGCATGGGAACGACCCCAGTGTTCACAGCACTACCTCCAGAAAAGCCACTCAGCTGGCGCATGCAAGGAAGTTGGTTTGTACTGAAGTGGGAGAAGAATTTTATCAAAAAAAAAGAGAGAAAAAAAAGAGGGACATTAAACTGATTTAGGAAACAAACTTAACATAGGACTTACTCTTCCCTCTGCGTTGATTGTCACTTCGGATATCTTGAAAGTGACCTTTGGATTTGCTGTACCTATAATAAAGATGTTAACAGTCAGACACCAATTGTTTGCTTCCAAGAGGGCAAACCTGAGCAGGGGATCATTGTGGTGTTATTCACACAGAACTGGAAAAAGCAAATAGCAGAATGCTCTTTAACCCAATAGCCCACTTGCATGGGTGTGAGAACAGAACCAGGCAAGAAAATAAAACCCCTGCAAACACAAAGCAGACTGGGTGGATGTAAATGGATCTCACCAAGAGTTACCACAGCCAAAAGCAGACTTCTCTCCCACAAGAGCTGAAAGTAAATACTAAAGGGTGATCAGGATAGCAAAGTAAGCTTTGGTTTATTGTGTGGATGCTACTTTTTGAAGTGGAGCGTAAAAAGTGATACAGTGCTCATACACAGTATCAAAAATGAGAGCAAGTCATTCTGCAACCAAAGATCATTTCTTTATGCATTTTAAAAAGTCTGCTGCTGTGACTAGTGAAGTTTGTGTTTGAAAACACCACAACAGAGGGCTTTCCTTGTAGGCTGCAAGCCATGCAGTGCTTGTAGTTCAAAGTCCCATTAGCAATCCTGGGGACTAAGAGTCTTCCAGAATGCAAACCACAAAGCATTACCAGCAGCCAGAGAAAGGCTCCAAGAAAGAAAATGGGCATCACTGTGCACCTAATTCCTCAAAAGACATAAGGCTGCAATGAGAATCAACTTCTGTGTGCCAGGATCTGAGGCAGCAGTTGGCCAGCTCCTGAGGCACACGCTAAGAGCTCTCCCTGACCACAGGGCTGGAAAATGCAGCACAGACACCAGTGACTGCCTGACCTCCACAGCAGCAGTTTTCCCAAACACATTTGCTCCACCTGGACATCAATTCAAGGACTACACAATATTCCTTCAACAACTCTCAGCTGTAGGCTGAGAGAGAGACTGCTGTAAGGCACACGCAAAATATATGTGTTTTCCAGAAACAAATATGCAAGGGCATGAGGGTCTCACCAGTTTTGGGGTACCGAAAGGAATCTGTTCTTCTTGTTTCCAACATGGGCGATGTGACATGAATAATTTCCACCTCTGACTCATCATTTTCTTCATATAGAATTTGAAGAACTTTGCCCCCATTCAGTGCTGTAAATGAATTAATATTTCCTGGTCAGAACAGCTCTAGTGTTTGGCTATTGCGGGCACCAAGACTCTCCCAGGATCGCAAGCAGATAAAGGATGAAAACTTAACCAAGTGACTCATGTTTCATTCAGCAAAATACTCCAAGACTCCTCCTACTCCTATTATCAACAAGAGGAGGAAAGTCTCTTCCCTAGGTAACATGCCCAGAAGGCCACTCCAACACATCCACCACTCCAGACCATTCAGGAGGAGTCACAAGCATAAGGTTCCTTTCTTGCATGAAGACGAATAACAGAAAATGTAATTCTGCTCTGGACAGCAGAGCACAGGGGCTGCTGCTCGTGCCTGCCAGACACGCTGGCTCCAGCACGCTTACCTGGCTGTGCCTTCGGGCTCCACCAGTAGCCAGTGTATCTGTCAAACTCCTCCTGCAGCACAAAAGTAGCCACACCAGCAGATTTGGGGTCCTCCTCCACATTGGCCAATTCTAAACAAGACACAAAAGCACCAGTTAACCCTGCGCTCCAGAACTAGCCCCAAGTTCAGCCCCCAGGGAACAACTGCGTGATGATGAATTTGCCTTCTCAGTGAGTTTGCTTTCTGCTTCCACCCTGCTCTGCTGATTTATTTGAGGATTTATCCTCTCTCATATGGCTTCTTCTTAGGAAAGGAAAGGAAAGGAAAGCCATCCTCCCTTTTTACTCCTACCCACTTAGTCTCTCTATTTTCCATGCACTAATCCAAGAAAGAAAATATTCTCTCTACCCGAGCTCAGTGAATGGGAACGACAACTTCCAAAAACATCAAAGATTTAAAAAAAAATCTGAATAACTAAAAATGAAAATACAGACATTCAGAAAAATGAAAATATCAACATTTTATCAACCATACAAACTGAAAGTAACAGACTTACATAACATCTCAACATGATGACATATCCATAGGGCTTCAATACTTTTCCTGTTACCCTGGAGGTAACTTAGCAGCACTCCATAAATAATTATCATCTGAGAAGGAGTCATTGCTACAGTTTATTTTTAATGTACTTACATAATATTTTAATATCTAGCATTTAAATAAACTTAAGCATTATTATAAAGTGTAAAAAACTTTAATTGAAAATTACATAGTTTAAATAAAAGTACAATTTAAATACAAAATGTGATGGATTATTAGGACATGTTTTAAATACAACTTCCCATTTTCCTTCCTCCAAGTTACATGCCCTAAGTACAGTTGAAGAGGAATAAGAAGGGAACATCTAAGTTACGTACTGAATGTGAGGGACCTGCAGAAGCTACAGTGCTATTCAGCAATTATCTGCATCATTTCTTAAAGGCCGTAGAGCCTGACTTAACTGGCAGGAACTCTCCTCCAGCTCTGTTCCACCCACAGCTCTTCCACACAAAAGGCGCCGTTCCAGTGAAAAGGAACATGCTGTGTTTCAGAAGAGCCTTCTATATGCATTCAACAATTCATTCATTCTGCCAGATTCCATAACAGAGGAAAGAATCATCCCACAATATTTGCAGTAGGAATAAAAAAAAAAAAAAAAAAAAGGAACATAGGAATGACAATCTTGGTCAAATCAAGATGGAATAAATATTGGACGTTCCCTCAGATTTCAGAAGAACCCCTAGAGCCACTTCAGAACTCAGCCTAGCTACAGCAAGTGCAGAGGAGGAGCAGAAGAGATTAAAAATACAGATTTTAATTCAGGATACATTACCATTATGCACAAACGTTAGCCTCCTTTCTTCTCTAGTTTCTATATTAGATACCCAGATGTCATTACTATGGATAAACGCAACCCAATTTGGATCAGCTGGACAGAGCTTGGGATCCATCCGGATGTTTGGACAACTGGTCTCCACCAGAATGGGTCTTAAGGGCTGTTGCTGTTTGGAAGATGACCAAAAAGAAAGGAACAATTAAGCCATGATAAAACACAGACACTTACAGAGGCTGAATTGGATTCTCAGAAGGCCTTTTAAGACCACAGTGGCAGGCACATCAACTTAAAGTGTACAGGTTGACGAGGCAGGAATCTCAAAAGAACAAGTTTATGAGAGAGTAACGTATCCAATTTAAACACAGAAAAAAAGTATGTGGATATTTTGTTGGGTAAGTAATGCTTGTACTATAATTGCATAGATCCCACCAGGTGCTAGGGACTAACCACAAACCAGAAGGCAGCTTGCCTAAAGAAGCCTGGCATATTCTTAAAAAAACACACCCTAAAAATGGATTGGCAGAACATGTAAGAGATGCCAGAGTGGAAGTGGCTGTATCCCAAGTTGCTTTCAGAGGACACCAGGGTTAAATGGACGTTGGTCACTTGTTAAAATAAAGAGTTGTTCTCTTGGAGTTCTGAGTTTCTACAACCACAGAAATGTGCCCTTTTAGGAGACTTCTCTCCTCCATGCTTCAAAGATTTGCCAAGGCTTCTTGCCATGCCAGTGCAGCAGTAACTGATATTCACTCTCTGCCTTCGCTCCAAGAGAAAGGAGTTTCCAGCCAGAGGAAAGCAATAGTACACTGAAAAAGGATGAGGGATGAGTAAACTCACAGTAAATCCATGAGGGCCTCCATCTTTTACATGATAAATTCCACTCCCAGCCTGGAAGAGAAAGGTCCCGCTTTCTCGGTGGTAATCATAAGAGGCAATCCCGACGGTGCCGATCCGCTTCCGCTCCCGCAGCAATTCCTCCTCTCGGGAGTACATCCCATAGTCCAGGACGGCCTGAATGTGGGCAGAGAAGCACAGTCAACGCCTCCCCCCTGCACCTCCCACTCGAGTGCCAGGGCATCTCTGCACATGGGTGCAGATGGCTGTGCAGACACCCTCCTCTGCCAAGCCCTGCTCCTGCTCGTGCCTCTGCTGGCAGTGCTGGCAGCTGCAGGCCCAAATCTGCTCCCACACAACTGCAAAACTGTCAGTCACTTCTGCCTCAGCAAAGGCAGCATTATTTCCAATGTATGTCGGTACAAGTAAGAT